AAAGACTACTAATACTTCTATTCTACGGTCTGGTCCTTTCCCCCATTGAATACGCTCTGGCCATCCTCACTGTCAGTGCTACCCAGATTGAACGACTCGAAAAGGTGCAAAATGAAGCCATGCGCATTATTTTGGGATGTACTAGAGACACATCCTGTGGAGCAATGAGGTATCTACTTGACTTTCCAACAATGAACCAAAGGATCAGGATGTGGAGGGCTCGGGCATATCTCAAAATATGCGCTGATAAAGAAACACCCACTGCATCAAGCGCTTTTTAGTGAAAAGGGCGACAGACTGAAGAGGGGGAAATCGTGGCTAGGTCGGGCAGAAGATGTTATTAGGCAAATATGCAGCCTAACCGACATCATACCTGGTGCAGAATGGATACCTGTGCCTCAGGCGTTTATTTGTACATTTTCCTGTATTGTCACACTCAACAGGCGATGTAGAAAAGAGAATCCTGTTGCTGTTAATGCAGAGGTCAACGCTCTCATCGGTGAAAATTCAGACGAAGCAGACGCAATAATCTATACAGACGGATCCGTTATACGCCAAAGAAGAAGCGCATGGGCATTTACAGCACGCTCAGCTCGGGCAGAACAGTCAAAGAAGCCAACGGCGCCTTCTCCATGACAACCAGCAGCATGACGATGGAGGTGATGGCAGTGACACAAGCGCTTGCCTGGCTTGAAACACAAAAATACACCCGCGTGTGTATACTCAGTGATTCAATGAGTATGATCCGGAGGGTTCAGGCAGGTTTCAGTGCGAAGACAATGGCTTGAATCATTACAGAAGTCCACTGTTCGTGGAGTCACCTTTATTTTTGTTCCGGGACACGCAGGCGTCAATGGAAATGAAAAGAGCTGACAGGTTGGCTGGATCCGCTATCACTACCGACGGTCAGAGCCTATGGATCATGCTGATATTATCAATGCCCTCAGAGAAATGGGAAGAATAGAGGACTTTGGTGGCAGTGAATCCACATCACTCGCCAGAATGGCAGACTTGGGAATTAAGATCGGCACAGCAAAAAACGAGACGCACACCAGCTACGCCAGAAGACTTGTTAATCAACATAGAACTGGTACTATTAGCCATCGGACGTTGGGGTTCATACTGAGGGGAGGATCTGAGCACCTATGGACATGTCCGGAGTGCAATGAGGATAACCCAACTAACTAACTAACTAACTATCGTCTAGAAACACAGAAAGGTGCCAATGAATGAAAAATCTTAAAGAAATTAACCCCAACTTATACAAAGCACTAGAAAAGCACACAGAAGACCATCACATCTCCTCCACCACTCTGATGAAGTAACTGGAGGAAGTTGAGAAGAAGAAGCATGAAGGTGCAGGACAGAACATAGATATCAACAGACCAGTGCAGAAACAAACCAAAGACAAAGCTAGATACGTTTCATCCATGGCGTAAAACATGCTTGTTATGAAGGTGTGAGGTCAGATATGACATCTATTGTGTAATAGTAGCCAGTACTGCGTATCTTATGTCAACACGGAATATTTGGCGGCGTATACCAAACCTGACATCCCATATTGTGCCAACAATTTCAGTGAAGAAGCACACTGGGGAGGATACTAGCCTTATCCAAGCAAGAGGAAATGCAACCTGAAAACTTACGTAAGGGCAGGGCAAACCAGGCCCTTAGCCTTGACTGGCAGATGGTTTAGGAGGGAAGCTCCGACAGGCAGACAGATAGAGCACTGCTCTTCTGCTCCAGCAGCTTCTGCCGCCTGCTTTGTTTCAAATGTACGACACTACCTGTCTTTTAGGGTAAACAAGGCAGGTCGAGAGAGGGATAAAGATGCATGGACAACACATAACATGTCTGCTTTTTCCTGCATTTTCACCCATGAAAGGTCATTCCGCATGCTGTGTTGTGGTTTACAACTAGGCTGCATTAAATTAGTCTTTTTTTTTTTAAAAACATGTTTGTTAAGGGGCATGGGTCTATCCCCACCCCCACAGGGTACTGGAATGCTCATAAGGATGACTGCATGGATAATCAAAGGTAAATTAATGTTTCTGCAAGATTAGCAGGACTGTTCTAAGAGCCATCAACTGTTTATTATTCCTCCACTAAAACACAGGAATGTATAACTAGAATCAACACAACTAATGATACAGAAGTCATTTTTTTAACTCTACACTGTAACTACTGTATATTCATTATCAAAGCCAATGAACTGTGTTCTCATCTTTTCAACTAATTATCTTTCCCATGTGATAGCTGTTCCTTCAAAATCCACCTGTATTCCTTTGACCCTATGTTATGTTATGCACATTACCATGCATGCTCAGTTCTCTGATGCAGCAGCTATTCCAAAGTATCTCTACTGAGTGAGTAGCTCATTATAATGTCTCCTATCTCGGCCTCGGAGTTGGCATAGACATGCTCAAATTTGCCATTATCCACTAAACTAATCCGTACAGGATTTATATCTGTTCTGTCCATAAAGGTTTTCTCAGTGTAAGGTCAAAAATAAAAGAAACTATTTCAGGCCATTTGAAGTGGAGGATCGCCACCGGCCAGGTCGACCTAGACGCACCAACAGACACGATGTCCTGTATCTATTGTTGTCAGCCCTGCACCACTGAACAGTGGCTTGTTCCAATCTAAGATGTCAACGGAGATAAACTGTAAATGTTAATGTCAGTCAAAACATAATTCACAGAAGTTTACATGAATTTGGACTGGCTGCTCAGCATCCTGCAGTCAGAATTGCTCTTACTCCTCATCGCATCTTCCACAGTGCTTGGTGTCATGAGAAATGTGTGACAATCAAGGCAAAAATCAGACCAAATCCTTTTCAATGATGAATCTCACTTTACTGTGTTATTCAATAATGACACGTTTCGAGTTTACAGACAATCATGAGAGTGAATCACTGATGACATGGTCTGGAGAGGTTTCTACAAACATGACAGGACCCAACTTTTCATCATCCAAGGCATCTAAACTGGCCCAAAATACCAGAAGGAAATCTTGAGACCAATTTTCAGCATGCTCTGGAAGCCATAGGTGGTAATGATATTCTCCAAAATGATATTTCCGGCCTTGTGTGGTGAATGACTTTATTCAGCAATATGAGATTCATAAGGATGTCACAGCCGGCTCATTCACCTGACCTTTCTCACATAGCACCTTTGAGATGTCACTGGACACAGACTGTCAACAAACCAGACTAATTGTCAACAAATCACCCCCTGCTCACAGATGTTGCACAGCCGGCCGACTGCATTTCTGCATCAAAAACGGCAAGCTGTTCCTCAGGATATTCTTCAGACTCTTGATACTCCATGCCAGGGCTATTTTAACTGGAGGCCTAGAATGTGGACTGCTGATAACTGCCAGTTCTATTGTATTAATGATTTTTCTATGCTGGGCTTGGACCATAATGATCCCCACATTTTCAACATTCTGGTCCCTAAGTAAACTTAGCTGAATAGCCCTGGTCTACGCTGTCCTGAATATCTTGCTGCAAACAGTGGTCATACCTGATTTTGAAATGTCTAGTTTTCCCATACCTACTGTATGACCTTTGAAAAAATGGATGGCAAACTTCACAGTTTTGTTGCATTATTGCATATTTCCATTTCTTTACATGACATGTAAACTAAGTATTCAATAAATGCTATTTTCACTTATTTTAGATATATTTATATCAGATCTGTTTGATGGTTTCAACCAAGATTTTTCTAAGTGGCTGTTGATCTTTGATGAGAAGTATATTTTGCCTCAAAAGTGGTGAAACAGCAAGGCATAAGTGAACAAACAAGCTTTATTTAGAGGAGCAAGATGAGATGATCAGACTATAACTGCTAGTAATCCGTATTTTTTTTCTTCTGTTGTTCTTGGTTCACAATTCCTGGAGATTATGTTATGTTTCAATCAACAAAGTTGTACCTTCCTCTTATCTTATGTCCTTTATTGATTTATCTGAAGTTCAGAAGTGGATGAAGAACACAAACTTTCCACTGCAGATAACATTAATTACAGCCAGTGAACATGAAAAAGAAACTACTGAATGTAAAATTGCCTAGAAAAACCAAAAAGTGCCAACAAATGTTGGCGTTGGCCTAATGTCCTGCAAAGGAAATGCAAATAACTATTTACAACAGTTTATATGCTTTAACCGTCAAACCTAGAGAGAACTAAACAACAATAGTGAATCATCAGATGAAATAAAAATGATGATAGCAGAGAATGTTAAATTCTAATTTGGAATAATATCAGTGTAGACTAATCCTAGCAGTAGCAGTGTGTAACAAAGCTAAGTAGTCTGACTCTCCTCCATGGTTAATTTCTTCTGAAAAGTATTAACTATTAATTAGGGTATGGCAATATTTGATTGTGAAATCGAAAACTGCAAAATAAGGCAAAGCTTCAAGGTCAACAACAACAAAAATATACACATAAGCCATAAAACAAAGGTGGAGTGATGGAGAATTGAAATGAAACTAGAATATAATTAGAATTAAAGTTTAAACTATTATTTGAAAATATAATCTGCATAGTGTAATATAAATATTGTGCGTTTACTATGTGAGTCAGAGATAGATAGAAAGAAATAAAGGAATAATTATTGTGCTTCATTTTATTATTATGAGATTACCATATACTGAGGTAAAATTAAAACTTGTGATGCATCTGTAAGTGATATACAGAAATATAATAATATTCAATCTCATTCTGCAATATAATTTAGAATGTTTATGTCTCCGTTATTTAAATTTACAAAGTGAAAACAAAATACAAGTTGAATTTTCTTCTTATACTCACTGTCTTAACTACTTGATACTTGTGACTGACAACTAACTAACTAACCGGTCTATCGTATATTAATAGTATCAAGTGAAGTGCAACGACTAGAGAATATAATGATGGAAGAGGACAAAAAACAGTAACGACACGGTAGTTTTCGTTAGTACGGTATATACGAAATGAAATCATTCGCTAACAGTTGCACCTACCTGCATGACAGCGTAAGACGTCTAACTGCTTATCCATGGCAAGAGGTGTTTGATACTGGTTCTGATTCATATTCTCGGCTGTGAGGTTCGCCGCTCTGCGTACTTCGCGGGCTATTTTAGAAATCCGCCGAGTTCTGCTACGCTGTCAGCTTGATATCAAGAATCGGGGTTTATTTACAACAAAATCGACAAAACTTTGATTCTAGTATTTCTTATTACAAAGCAAACTTGTTGACTATATTTATTTTAAGCAGAATATCTTAAATATGTCGTTTATAGTTAAAATTGTTCAAGACAGCAAAAGAAAACACAAGAAACGTGCCAGTGAGCGAGGTAAGGGAAGTTACCCATTTCCGGTAGTATAATAAATAAGCGTTGTCTCCCTTATTTAACTCTTGCACTTGCTACAATAGAGCTTACAAAATTTTTGTCCTCACATTCCTAGGACTGCGTTCGATTTCTAAACGTTTTATGCTCGTGACATCCTTTTTTAAACAAACATAATTTCACTACACCGGGATCCAGCATATAAGCAAACTACAAGTTTAACTAACCCCTTATAATATATACTACAAATACATCAATTACGTTCGCGCGACATACCTTCACACTGCACTGCAGCACCGATACACAGTTTTGAAAGCTCTGTGTTAAGAGGTTAGAATCTGAATAAAATGGAGTTTCAAGTCTGCCCAGCTTAAACTGTAAACAAAATATGAGTCTAGCATTACATGTAGGATACACCACTGGCGTAAAAAGGTTTCGTTGCTTTAGAATGGAGTTAACTTAGATTAAGTTGTGAAAGCACCTTTACTTTACTTAGTCCATCCTCTTTTACATTGAGGTTTCTATCTGCAGTTTCTTCTTGACTTTGTTCCATTCCATTCCTCTGTCAGTCAGGGACTGTCGGATGTTGTCATCTCAGCGAAGCCTGGGTTGCCCTAGTGGTTTGGTTCCCTGGTTCTTGGTCAAACAGTCTGGCACATTTTTTCCTTTTTTTTATAGAAGTCCAAACTGTGACTGATCCACTCAATTTTGCAAGGCCTGGGTTTCAAAATCCTGACCTATTGTATGAGCTTTTGTGAGCTGTGAAAACACATTTATTGGCTGGCAACAGAGTGAGTATGTTTTTACACTAATACAGTTACTTAGAGAAAGTCGCGAAGGCATTTCCTTCATCAGCCAAAAACGGTATAAATTATAATAAATTAGGTAAATTATTTTTTGTTTTTTGTCACTTGACTAAGGATAACTTCCACTGAACTATAATTCCTCGAGTGGGTTCCAATGCCTCACTGGGGAGAGTTGGGGAGGGGGATCAACGGCTTCCATGCAATCATGTCGAAACAGATTTCTTCTTCTTCTTCTTGTTCACCGGCTGTGAATTCCGGCGGTAAGTCGCGGTTGTTCGTCCAAAATGGACTTTTGGCTTTTACCTTGACCTGAGTTTTGCGTGTACATCCGTTTTACTGGCTTATTTGTTCGCAGTTCTCGTTCCCCGCCTCTCCGGCAGATGCACTCCGACTTTAGGGGAAGACGTCAAGCCTATTTCTAGGTTGACTGTGGCCATTGTTTTGTGTGGGTCGAGATGTTGCCTCATTTGTGTGGTGTCCTCTTTGACCTTTAACAGGTGTGGCTCCCGGAATGTCGTCCTTGAGGCAGCTCTATGTGGAATTGTCAGCCCTCAAGGGAAGGCAGGGGCAGATCATGGGCATTCCCCGCCATCCAAGGAGGCTTCCATAAATGCAAAGCCGACACATGATGCTCTTGTTCTGGGCTCACCCAAGGAATCGTCACGTCCTGCCCATGACTGCTTAACCTCACAACCGTGTATTGAGCTTCCCGCGCTACAAGGCTGCGCTCTCCGGAGATCAGCGGGGAGCAGCCCGCAGGTCTAGGACGTTTGTGGCCACACAAATAGGTACATTCTTTTTCATCTTACGTTAGACACCTTTAACGTTGTTTCAGCTGTGCCCTTAGCACAACAGAATGGGGAAGCAAAATGCGTCAGGCGTGGCTTCACCTGTTTGGTCTCAACACTCGGGCGAGTTGGACCAGTGGATACGGACATTCGGACTTTTTCCTAATCGGTACGAATTATGATGGTCGGACTTTGAGCTTGCATGTGTGTCGTGGGGTATAACTTTGTCGGACATTATTTCCAAGCCAGCATATGAAAAGTTGCTGCCGTGGTGTACCTCAGCGCGGTGACGACGACACTGAGGATTGAGGATGTACGTAGGTAGGATCTTGCTGCGAGAAGTCGCCCACAAGAGATGTTACTCGTCTTGGCTGCGGGTAAATCTCTCGGTCAGGGTTGAGTCTCAGCAGCACAGTTTTCCATTCGCTCCCGAATTTTAACCAATAGTTGTCATTTGATGGTACATTTAGCAAGCAATACTTGAGTTTTGTTAGTAGGAAAAGATTGCAGAAAAGTCTAGACGAAGTTGCGCATTGGATGGGAAAATGGGGATTTAAAATCAACGTCGACAAAACAGTAAGCATGATATTCAACTTTAAAAGACAGCTTAATTATGACCCAGAAGTAACGAGACTCCAAATTAATGGTAGAACAGTTCAGCGGACACGTTCGACGAAATTTCTAGGAATGATTCTGGATGAGCAAATGACCTGGGCTAAGCACATCGATGATCTCGTAGTAAAGTGTACAAAGTACAATAATATGCTGAGAATGATTAGAGGAAACGGATGGGGAGCACACCAGGACACCCTAATACAATTTTATAAAGCTTTCGTTAGGGGCAAAATGGAATACGGAAGCATAGTATACGAATCAGCATCAGAGAACAGCAAATGCAAACTTGATAGGATTCAGTGCAAAGCCCTGACTACCATCATGGGCGCTGGCAAAGGGACATCGAGAGAGAGAGCCATGGAGAGAGAGGCCATGGAGGTAGCACTAGGCATCACACCGCTTAACCTCAGAAGGAAACAATTTACTTATAGCTTTGGATGAAAGCGGCCAACGATGCCAGACACCCAGCTTCAGACGCTTTCATCATCAACATTACCCACCTAGGTGACAGACCGGTCAGAGACATACAGAGACCAGCAGCCTGGGGACGCTGCACTAGAAATTAACGATGATGAGGACTTAGCTAGGACTCTAGAGGCAAGCGTTAGGTTTGTCCCTCAAATCCCTCCATGGAGACTAGAGCTGCCCAGGACAGACATGAGTCTGATGAAAATTATTAATAAGAATACTGAAACATTTGAAGCCAAAGCAATAACAGAAGAATACATAGACCAGATCCGATCAGACAATCTGGTTGCATACACTGACGGATCTAAGAATGAAGCAGGAGAAGTAGGAGCAGGAGTAATAATCCCACAGTGGAATATACAAAGAGAATATGAAATAACAGATCATGTGGCAGTATGCACAGCAGAACTAGTCGGCATAATGAAGGCACTAGAGATGGTAATTAATAAACCTCCAACTAAATTTACCATACTGACAGATTCATTGTCCTCGGTGCAGACGTTAAAAACACATAAAACTAGCAGTAGACCAGATATTAAAGAGACAATCCTAAATTTAACAACCCAGCTCAAGAATAAAGGATGCCAAGTCACTATTGCATGGGTACCAGCACACAGAGGTGTAATAGGCAATGAAAAAGCTGACATAGCAGCCAAAAAGGGAGCAAAATGTGATGTTTTAGTAGATGTAGGACTCGGAAAAACTGAAAGGACCAGCATAATCAAACGGCATATAATTAAAATGTGGAAACTACAATGGCAAGGGAGCAATAAAGGCAGAGATGCCTACAACAACCTTAAAAAGCCCAGCCTTAACACACAGGTAGGGGACAAACTGAAAATCCCAGCTAACAAACTACTATGGAGAGCTAGGTTAGGGTGGCATCCAGAGAAATTTACATCTCCTCTATGTCTGGACTGCTTTCAAGATAATACAATAGAGCATTATATATTAAACTGCACTAAATATAAATTGGAGAGGAAACCCATTGAGGAGTATTTTCTAAAACGCAAACAACAAATTACTGCAAACAAATGTTTAAAGGTAGATAGCAATAGAGACATCCAAAAACTGGTTAAACAATACCTTTTTAAAACAAACCCAAACTAAAAAGACCATATTAAGGATCTACTCAGTATAACAGAAGGAACTGATCAGATGGTAACACCGCACACCCAAGCGTCAGAGAGGTAGTGTAAGTATGATGAGTGCATAGATGTGAACTTGGATACATACACAAGGATGAGTGAGTGTAGTATGAGTGCATTTATGGATACAGAAGACACAGTGTATGTAGATGGATGGTAAGGGATCACGTATGGATAGGACAGCGGGAATATAGCTGGGCGAAAGGTACAGATGAATGAGTACATGGATATAAAAATGTAATTACTGTATGCATGTATATGTGGGTATGAGTGTGCATGTGTGTATATATATGGGAGCGTGATATTTGTGTGTATGAATGACAGTGCACTCAAAGAACCGACAAATTGTGTTGCTGCATGTCTGTTAATTAATGAGAACATGGAATGAGGTGTGTACGCAGCAAGAAGGTCATCAACACACACCATCCATCAAAACATGGTAAGACAGTACCGGGCAGGTCACATACAAGTAACGAGACATAACTTAAAAGTGACACGACCAGACGATACTACAGACATAGCGACACAAAACACACAAGACATGGAAGAGTGAATGTCACTACGTGTGGATGTGCTCGCATATAAAAGAGTTTGCGTGTGTACGTAATGTCAATTAGGTATGCATACATGGATAAGTATAAAAGGACGTGCAAATATGTAGTGTTGTCTACGTATATGAGCACTCGAGCGCATGTACGCATACACCTAGTTGGGTGCATCCATGTACTCCGGGTATTCATACACAAAACCATACCATTCAACAGCATGCATACAACATGCACATGACCGACAGGACTCACAACAAGATACGACTGACTGCAAATAGGGAAAACAAGTGACTCAATAATGACAGTACTAGAACACATAACCACCAATACCACCCCATCACTGTGATGATAGCAAAGGTTGGTAACGTGA